TATCAGTGAGAGCTTGTATTTGAGCTAGTAATGCTGTTTGATTGTTATTCGTATTTTGATTGTTTCCAGAATTTGATCGATTTGGAGGCAAGTTGTTTTGTTGCTGATTATTTCCATTTGGTCTTGGATGATTATTTCCAAAGTTGTTCTGATTATTTCTGGATGGTTGAGACTTTGTACAGTTGGGGTGAATGTGTTCTTGCTCATCACAATTATAGCATGTAGAAATATTACTAAAATTTCAATTATTTGATCTGAAATTGGAATTATTTCCATTGTAGTTTGGTTTTCTAGTGGATTCCACATTTTCAATTCGTCGGTTGATTCCTTGAAGTGCTACCAAAATAGCATTCAATGTTGAGTTATCTTGGGTTTGTGATTGATAGTATCCACAAGTTGGGGAATTTGTATCAGCTTTCTCTACATTTTTGGTAACTTCTACCATATGTTCAAAGATTCTATCAATTGTTATTTGTACCCATTTTTGAAGTTCAGATTTAAGTCCTCGTCTATATGTTCTGATTTTATATTCTTCTGGATATGCATTCTCAAGGTCTACTTTACGAAGCAGATTGATGAACTTGTCTGTGTATTCTTCAATACTGCCTGTTTGTTGTAAAGTTTCAATTTCGTCTTGCCATTGATCTACTCTTTTTCTGGTTCGGAAGTGAGCAGCAAATTAATGACTAAAACTATGTGGTATATCTGCATTATTATTCCAAGCTATCAATCGAGTAGCATTATCTCTTTCTCTTTCATCATACCAAAGAGCAGCAGCACCTTCTAAGTATCCACGAACAAGTTGTACTTTTCTTTGATCAGTAATTCCATTGGCTTGGATAGCAATATTAAAGTCTTTTAGTCATTCTGTAGAGTTATGATTATTTTCATAATATTTTCGAATAGAAATAATGATCTTTTCAGTTGGACGATTAATTTGTTCAGCCATTCTATCAATTAAGGCTCCAAGAGCTGCAATTAGAGCATCAACATTAATTATTTGATTATTATTTTCTTCTGGTTCTGAATTATTTTCAGATTCTGAATCTAATATGGTTTATTCTGGAGATGGTGTGTCTTCTGAGTTTCTGGTTTCAGAATAGTATTCGTTGATTTTACTATTATTACTAGGTGTTCTTGAATTGATTTGTAGTGAAAAGTCATGTATAATAAATTGTTGATAAAAATATTCTATTAATTCAAGTTGTTCTTTTTGAGTAGTTATTCGATCAAATAATAAAGTGTTTAATAATTGGACTATTTTCTATCTAAGTCGAGTAGAATGTACTTCTTCAAAAGTTGATTTGAGTTAATTTGTTGAATAACAAATATGTGATTTGATTTAAAGAGATTGCTCCAATATTTTCAATTATAATACAAAAGGTGAAAAATTGAAATGAAAAGACTTCTTGAAGGGGTTGACAAAAAGAACAAAAGTATTATAGGGAAATTTGATTATTAATATTAGGATTTCTATGTATTTCTAAATGATAATCAATAGATAATCCAACAAATAAATAATAATTGGTCATTAAAACTCAAAACACAATTATTTTCAAATATTTAAATAAATATAAAGAGTTATAAAGGAAATAATAATATTATATAAGGGGATGTGGAATTTTATATCCACAGAGGGAGCACCAAAAATATGTTACAGCGATTTTGAATAGTGTGTTCACTAAGAATCACTATAAGCATATGATGTTGGAAGAGAGTTGATTAAACTTAAGTAAAGAAAATAAATTATAAATATTAGCAAAGATTTCTGAGATCTGTGCTGATATTGTATGTTCAAAGGTCTAAATTACAAAAGTAATTTGAAAAAGAGGTAAAAATATAAAGAAAAAAATAAAATAAATCAAAAAATTTATAATGATTAATAAGTGAAGCCACTATTAATCAAAGAAAAACTAAACTAAAATATAAAATACTAATACTAAAAAGTATAAATCAAAAATAACAATTTAAATAAAATCAATATCTTCAAAAGTTATATTTACCTTTTCATACCAAGTATCTTTATCTGATCTATAATGACTTTGGTCTTCAACTAAAATTACTGTAATGTTACTGAATCACTCTTTGTCATGAAAACTTCTAGATATTCTCAGAATTTTGTCACTTTCCAAATAAACTGTATTATAAACTTTTTATATAAAAGTTTTTACTTTTGAACTTTTGTAATAATGTATCAAGGAACGTATCTAATGTAGTGATTATATATGATAATTCTTTAATGTGATAAACTTTTCAAATTCTTTAACAAAATCACTTTTATTTCAATAATATCCAAAGATAATTCCCATAATATCTTGCCAAATTCTGTAGTTTTATAATAAACTGTCTTGCTTGTTATTAAAACCAATTCTTTGTACTTCATCTATAAGTATAGTTTAGAATTTATAACAAATTGATCACAATTGACTAACTTGATTTACTGTATTTATTATTTGTTAAATTGCATTTTTTTATTTGATGACTGGTACAGATTTTTCATTTATGACTTGTGAAGTGTTTCATATATTTTCATATATTTTCATTAAAAGATCATTCAAGACTCCATATTTGTAAATTGTCAGAATCATATGGTAATACCAATTATATAGTTTAGAAAAACTATATTCTATAGTGAATAGTAATGAGAAGATTCTCTTAAATTCAGTTGATCAATTAGCAATGAGAACCTGTATTCATTTTCTAAGTCTATTATTAATTATCTAATTTTTCAAAGTTTAATTAATTTTGCTTTATTTTATCTCAAATTCTTTTAAATTATTTTCAGTAAATGACTCTCATCTATTCATTATATATATTCTACTAAATTTTGCAAAAATTATGCAAAGTTATATCATTTCATGTGTCAAAGATATTGTCTAATATGAAAAGAACAATTTTTATAATATATCGATAGTCTGCAACTATTATTACTTTTATTTGATCCAATTTATTGAACAATTTTAATTCAGGAAAGTGAGAAATTTGCTGGAGATAGTCATTAAAGTTGTTTAGTAATTCTGTTCCTCCAACTTCTTTCAAAATATCTTGGATGAAGTTCAATTGATATTTGAAGAGATTAAGATCAATATGATATATACAATTAGGTACATAAGCTTCATAAATATTTAAATTTCTATAATAATTTAATAATTTTAATTTAATTATAACTCAAAATTATTTTTTAAAAATAATTGCAAAAGAATTAGTATTTAAACACTTATGAGAACTTTCAGAAGGCATTTTCAATATTGTGTATAAAAAAATTTTTGTCTCAATTTTCATTTATAATCTGTCACATGTTTTCTAGTGTTTTAAGATTCATATTCTCTAATATTGACTGTAAGAAAGGTCTACGGGCCTCAATAAAGCTCAGAATTGTTGCACACAATTATTCTCCAAGTAAATTAGAACTTGTAAAATTCCCTCGTAACAATTGATTGAATTGACTGACGGTTAGGACCTTGATCCAAAAAAGCATTGTTTAGAAGATCGACGATGGTAATCGATCTTGGTAAAGACACGCATAATAGATAATAGAAAGCCCAATTAGATTTAGAAATTAATAAAGGAAACATTTTAAAATGAACCTACCTAAAATCCAACGTGAAATACGAAATCCGTAGATATCGGCACAGGCAACACTATTATCGTTTAGAACTCAAAAAACTGCCGTTTATAGGAAGATCCTTCCCTTTTATATAAATTACGAAATTCAGGTAACAATACGTATGTAATAGATATGTACATGTATGAGTTAACCTTAAATAGTAAATTTATTAAGCGCATATTATTGGTCGAGCATAGCATAAATGGTAAAAAAACATTCTAAACTAAATTTAGGTAAATACTTATTGTGTTAAGCTTACGTGATATCTTATGGGTTACATAATAAATTTACAAATTATTTTTTATCATCGGATTGTCATAAAAATCTTTATCTATATATAGTTCAACAATAATTGTTGTGGATCAACAAAAGATTGGTTATCGTTAGCGTTATTTGAATTGATCGTCATAAAATCTTTATCGTCAAATGGAAAAGTCGTTTCTTGATAACTGATTTCTGCTAATGTCAATGGAAAAGGTTTTAGAAACATGTCAATCATTTCTAAATTATCAACTTCTTCCATTGCTAATTGAAAAGAGGTCATATTTTGAGGATCACTTATTGATAAATTTGGTGCAGAATGTTCATAATTCAAAGCAACAGTATTATAATTCAAGAATCGACTTGTATGATCAGCACTTGGCTGTGATTGAATCAGTTGTTGTGGATTTACAGAAAATTGGCCATTAACGTTATGACAAACATTTTCTGTTGATGTCGATGGAATAGACTCTTGTAATAGAAACGATGCCGAATCTTGAGGATCAATAACCGAGAATTTTGACGTTAAATAATTTTGTTTTGAGCCAATTGTACTGAACTCGCAATCTTTATTGGATGATGAACTTTTCTTTCTTTTTGTGATGTCAGAATAGTTATTATAAATACGCCATTTGTATTTATCTTTAGATTTCTTTTGAGAGGAAGGCAAATATACATATTTTGGTGAGCTTTCGCGAATTTCGCTGGCAATTTGTGCATACTCTTGTTTGATTGAATCAGATTCGATCTTCCATTTTTTTGATGCCATTCCCGAAATTTTACCCGCATAAAGATGAATATTGTTGTCAATTAGTGTTTGTTGAAAAGCTTTCCGGTATAAGATAAAGCTATTTGGCGGCCTTTTTGACATCACATTGGCGTCATCCAATTGACTGAATTTCTTTAACATTCCGAAAAGTTTTTCGTCATACGGAGAGGATACTGTAATTTCTTTGATGATTAATTTTTCATTCGTATCAAAACTTTTATTTGGATCAATATATAAAATAGAATTACGATTTTTATTTTGACAGTGTTTAGACATTTTGCTTATTTCAAGCATTAACGTGGGATGGAAACTTATTCGCCTCCTCTCTCTCTCCCTTTCCCCCCCTCCTTTATATACTGTTTAATATGTTCATGGTATTGTCTTTTATTGTCACACGTTAGTTTGACTTGTTTTTTATTGTCATACGTTAAATGTTTTTTAATAAAATTATTTTCCTTTTATATTTTAAGAGCGATAGATTCGACTTCTATTTATTTAATTGGTGTTGTTTTTTTATTTATTGTATTAGACAGGAAATGAATGCGATGATAAATAGGGACCACTTATATCTTTATATTTGAGTTTCCTCGTTGCAGCTATTGATTCTATCATAATTGTTGTTGCCTGATTACTATAAGCCTTCTTTATAGGGGATTTTATGAATGATTGATTAATTTGATTCGTGATTTTATAGAAACATTTTAAATTACTTAAAGAAGCTTAATCTAATGTTTTTATAACAGAACGAATAGAAAAGTGATTTTTAAAAGTTTTATCTTAGATACACGTGTTTCTTGTTATTAATTAATAATATATTAAGCATAATTGCACTAATAAATTCTTGGATTCTGTAATTAACCATTAGAAAAAGAGAAACTCGCGACGAACACGATGAATATCCGACATATTGAGATGAGTAAATAGTTTTTGCTTTTCTTCAATTATTATAAATAAATATTTTCATCAAATAATCGTATTAATAATTCTTGTAAATTAGTTATTAATTGGGATCAATAAAAACCTAGCAATTTTTATATATAAAAATTGCTAGGTTCATTTAAATCTTCATTGTTTTAAACTTCAATATAAAATGTCAAAATGCAGTAGCAATTCGGTCGGAATTTTGCTCGATTCGGCATACGAGAACAACAATATCCGAATTATACGGTCTTTTGTTCAAATTTCTGTAAAAATAATCCGAATTCAACCAAATTCGGACGAATTATGGTACAGCATGGACAAGCGTAGCCAATGAAATAATTTAATTATTTATTTGATGTACAGTATGAGTATTTATAGAAGGTATCACAGTGAGAATGTTGTGGTGTCATACATATAACTCTGTTAAAGTTATTTTTAGAGGATGCTTTAAAAGAAAAGTCTCACAATAATAGAATCAAATAGCGTCATATACAATAAACCACAAGAAACAAATGATCTACAAAAGTGACCAGACTTGTATACATAATTTATACATGTACAAAAAATTGTTTAAAAAACAAGTAAAATTATTACTAATTACAAAAAATTTTATTATAATACTATACCAAGAAGGTCTAAGTAAACTTGGTTATGTCGTTTTAAATACAAATTTTACAAGCCTTAAAACAATAACTTTGAATAAAATTACAATTTTTGGTTAATTTTCGAATATTTTCTTAAAATAATTCCAAGTGAACTTATTAAAAATAGTTTAAAGAGTTGTTATTTAAAATTTCACTGAAATCTGTGAAATTTTGACTGAAATCGTTAAAAACCATATTTTAATTTTTAAAATCTATGAAAATTTGATGAATTGTTAAACAATTTTTTTGAAATAATAAAATTTTTTATAATTAGTAATAATTTATTTTAAAAAAGATTTTCAGTTAAAATTGGAAATTAATCAGAAATTTATGAAAACTTGTTAAAATTATATGCATATATTTTATAATATAGAGCAAGTATTCATTACATTAACATTTAAAAAATCTCTGTTAACTTTGGTCGCCAACTACATATATGAAAATGTGATTAAAAGGATTAGTATACATACACAGAGGAAGATTTTGGTTTATAAAACAGCGCGCATATGGTGCATAAAATCTAAAGTCATCAAACGTTGTATTTTACAAAATGTATAAACTTCTTTACTAAGAAGTAAATACAAAATTTAATCCATGAATATGCTCAGAAAAAGCCTATTCAATCATATTCACGGATTAAATTTTGTATTTACTTCTTAGTAAAAAAGTTTATACATTTTGTAAAATACAAACGTTTGATGACTTTAGATTTTATGCACCATACTTAAAAGGATATAACGGAATTAAATTGATCATTGCTTTTGCACTAACAGATATGTGATTTGATTAAAGAATACAGTATGGCGTGAAGAAAATTTCGTTTTTTGTTTTATAATACAGTCTGTAACAAAAAAAAAAGGTAAAATACAGACAAAATAATTGTTTAAATTGCTTTGTTCAATGCGATTTGTGATGCATAACATAGAAAACAGATATAATTAACATGAATAAACTTAATATAACTT